GGCCCCCGACAGCGAATCCGAACGCTCCTGGGCGGGGTGGGGCTATCGGACCCTCATGGGCGATCACTGGGCGATTAAGGGTCGATGCGTTAGAGGCCTCCCAGCAGGGGTCCGAGTAGATGGTGCTCGAAGATCGATCGCGCCGCATCGCGGGTTGGAGGGCAAACGGGAGCAACGACCGCAGCATTTCGATGGTGGTCTGCCACCCAACTTCGTAGGGCAACAACACTTGTTCACTCAGACGGCGTTGTTCACTCAGACTTCACACGAGGGACTCGAGCGCACGGGCCGCTGGAAACAGTTGGCCGTGCCCCGTAGCAGTTGGATATCCCCCGCTGCAGAGATGCCGCCAACCCGCGCATCTCGAGCGCAACCTGCACCAGTGGCTGTAGAGTCGGTGGAAGGGCGCGAGGCAATCTCCCCGAGCTCTGAAGAACCTGCCTGGTCTTTCAGCAGCTGCTCCTGCATTCCCCGCCGCTCGCCTTCCGGCCCGACGCGGCTCCACGAGGCTCCCTCGCCCGAGGCTACTGCAGGCCTCCTCCTCCTCCTCCTCCTCCTCCTCCCCCTCCTCCTCCTCCTCCTCCTCCTCCTCCTCCTCCTCCTCCTCCCCCTCCTCCTCCTCCTCCTCCGATGCGTCGCCGACAAATCGGCGACGGGCCCGTCGATGGCAAATCCCAAAGTTCCTGGGAGGGGCGCGGAAGTCAGATCTCCGTCGGCGACGCCCTGGCGACTGCGGGTCGACGCGTTGCCCCGTGAACTCGCGGTCGAAGCAGATCGGCAGGGTGCGCTACCTTTTCCGAGCGCCCAGCGTGCATGAACGCCCATCCCTAAGGGCTTGTCGACTTTTCGCCAATCGACTTGTGAGAATCGAGCCAGATAAACCCAGGTAAATGCAGATAAATCGAGGTAAATCCAGGTAAATCTAGATAAATCTGGGTAAATCCAGGTAAATCCAGAGATCTCCAGGGAAAATTCGAGCACTTCGCGGCCGCTCCAGCGCGAGTCGAAGGACGGCAGAAGTCGTTAAGCCTTTAACGAGCCCAGGGGTCATTCTGCGGCGAGTCTGAGGCCCTCATGGGGGACACCGCATCTTTGAAATTCCTGGCATTCCTTGCCGTGAGACGCCCACCCCAAAGCACCTCTCGCGGATGCGTGCACCTGGTGCGTGGACGCAGATCCACGGATCGGGGGAGGGTGCCCCTCAAAACGTGATGCCACGGCCGCCGTCTTTGTCGACGGAGCGAGCCGCTTTCGTATGGAAACGGGGCCCGTCGCTGATCCACGCTGCCCTACCCGCATCTGCGTGTTTCCTCTACCCTTACGGTCCAACATGGCTCCACGAGGGTTTTCGAAGAGCCCTCGATGCGAAACGCAAGGTCGGGCGCGTGCTCGCGCCATCGGCGCAGGCGATGGGACCGTACGCTTCCGTCGGGCAATGTCCCCCTACAGGCGGATTTTGGACGAGAGATTGAAAACACAAGCAAAAAGCGAAGAGTCAAAAAACAGGAAAAATCGTCCACAGACTATTTTTTAGACTATTTTGGAATGTTCCTCCCGTCGAGGACGTGCCCGACTCAACCGCACGCTGTCGTCGCGACCGCGCAGGGCGGCCTGGGATGCCCCACGATCCCCGCGGCGTCGCCCAAGGGGAGACGGAGTACGGCTGGTTCGTGTGGCGTCGGCACGCGCAAAGGTTTTTGACACTGCGCCGACCCGTTCAACCTACAATCGATCGCGGCCCCGATCGTTCAAGGTTGAAATCCGTCGGGTCATGTGGCGTTGCCGTGCCCCTCGGTGCTGCCGCGTCGTTTTGTTCTGCGGAGTTCAACCTTGAATGCTTTCGCTGGCGTCGCTGGCGCGCCATCGCCGCATGAACCTACCGTAACTGCGGCGCGAGGCGCTGCAGGCCGCGGCGCGACGGCAGGCCGCCGCGGTCCGCTCCGGCATCGTTCCTCGAATAGGAGATCGGCTACATTAAAGGGAAATTAGGACACACAAATAAATACACACAAATAAAAATGTGCCCCATATTTTCGCATATTTTCTGGGTTTTTGTCTTCCCCCCCCACTTCCCATATTTTCCCATATTCTCCTGGGGATCGACGATTAATTGTGTCTGTGTGTTTTCCCTCCTGAGGGGTGGAGGGAGGGGAGGGTCCTTAGAAGGAGACTGCTTCTTAGAAGGCGCCGGCCTTACACCTGTACATAAAGCCCGCGCCTTCGCCTCCTAAGAAGCAGGGGCGTTTCTAGGAAGCCGTCCCCCCTCCCCCCACCCCCTTTTGCGCGTGGCCGACACATGTTGGTTGCCGCCGAATCTACGCAAACTACGTAGCATGCTCCGTAGACCTACGGAGCATGCTACGTTACTTTTGTTGTGGGTTCGACGGGACATCAATTCTGGGCAGATCAAAGATGCAGTCGATGCCCATAGTGTCAAAAGCCGATCGTGCGGATGCGCGATCAGGATGCAGGCGCCTTCGACGCCCATGTCGACGCTTTTCGCGCGGGGCTGGCCATCGAAACCGGTGAAGGATGGACCGATGGGGGGCCCGCATGCCAAGGGCACCCTCGGGAAAACTACGTCCACACCGTTCGTTTCGACCGTGCTCGAGTTCTGCAGGCAGGCCCCGGTCGCGGCGTCGTCGGGCCGCCGCTCCTAAGCGGTGCCCAAGGGGGGGAGTCACCCTGGCGAGCGTTTTCGTATTCGGCGTTTCGACATTGGGCGCAGGGGGGGTGGGGGGAGGGGGGTCTGGCTGTGGACCTCTGCTTGGTGCGACTGTTTGCAGCAGTGCACCCGGCGGGGGAAGCTCCACCTGCTCGAAACAGGCGCCAAACACAGCCAAGATCTACTCCATGGAGTGGGGGGGAAGGGGGGGTGCGATGAGAGAGAGGGATGATCGTACCAATGAGCCTATCCGCATATGCCCACCCCTGGGGGACAGCGCCCGAACTATGAGTCGGGATGCCCTCCAGAGACGCGTCGCGTGCGCCTGAAGGGCAGCGCGCAGCAAGGTGAGAGGTAGAGCTATGCAGGTGTTGTCACCGGCCAGGCCTGCACCATCGTACAGTCGGGGCGTTGACCTGAGGAACCCAAAATAAGGAACGAGGCCCCTTTTTTCCATAAGTTAAACTTCGATTTCGCATCGAAAACCTGAGGGGAATCCAAGGCAAGCTGCGACACAGTCAAGGAACGCGGAGCCCCTCCCCAAAGAAAAGGGTGCCTTCTTCAGGGCCCCGACTATACACCCTGCGAAATGCTTAAGAAATCATGGGTTAAGACATTCATAGTCTCAGAACTTGAATAAAAACCCAACGTTTCCATTAAAATCTTAAGATTTACATTGAAACGTTAAGAATTATCGAGACTCTGCCCGAAAACTTGAGTTTTCTTAAGCATCGCCTAAGGTGTACACATGCGAGGACCCGCGCCGATGGCCAAAACCACGAGCGAGGAACCGATCACCCCGCCGCGCCCGCCCGCGCGGCGCGGTTTAGATGCTCGTTCTGGGGACCTTCCTGGAGCCACTCGCTCCACTCGTGCGTCGAAGCTGCGTCGAACGTCAGTCGATTTGGGTCGACCCTGAGTCGAACCTGGGTCGAACCTGAGTCGAACCTGGGTCGAACCTGAGTCGAACTTGAGTCGAACTTGAGTCGAACTGGGGTCGAACAGATCCATTAGGTGGGCTCCAGGAAGGTCCCCGAAACGAGCATCGAACGCGGTTGTTGGCGAAGGCGGGGCCCGCCCCGCCTGCCCTCGGGACGGCGCCGAGCTCGGCACGAGCCGGCACGGTCTCCGGGGGCGGTGCCCGCCTCCTCCTCCCTCGCGCCGCGGTCCCTTTCTCCTCCCTCGCGCCTCTGCGCGCCTCCACGTGTCCCATCCCCTCGTTCCTTCCCGCTCCTCCTCACCTCTCCTCCTCATGCCTCCTCGCTTCTCCTCCCCATTCCTGCACACGCCTCCTCCTCCAACTCCTCCTCCTCCTCCTCCTCCTCCTCCTCCTCCTCCTCACTTCCTCCTCATTGATCCTCCTCCCACGCGCCGCAACATCCACCCGATCCGCCCCCTACCTCCCAGAGGGGAAGGGACTGCAAATCAAAACGAATGTCGTGGGCATCGTTTTGGACCTGCCGCCAACTCGCAATTCCCTAGCCACCACTTCAACCGCCCAGGGATTTCAGGAATTCTTGAAAATCACAAATTGCTAACAACTCATAATCTTAGGCCCTGAACTGAACAGACGGACGGCGCTGCAGTCGCGGACCCTGCACTCATCTGCAAGACAGCGTCGGGCAGCGTCGTCTTGGCAATGACGACCCGGAGGAGAACATCGCGTGCCTCCAAGGTCAACAAAATCATGCGAGGGAGCAAACGGCAGGATACATAACTCGTCTTGCAACTTCGAACGTCACCTCCGTGTCCATGAGAAGGTACCAGACCACGGGATGCATCCGCGACGTGTGTCGGGCTCACGCAGACTAATCATTCGACACCGGATTGCTGCAATCTCCAGACGCTGCACAGGCGACGTGCGAGTAAGTGCCGTATTACCATGTGCAATGTGGTAAGGGGTGGTGAGAACCAGAATGCGGCAACATCAAGTCAAGACGAACACATGCTCAGATATAGTATATAGTCCACTGGCTAATCGAGGTTGTCGTGAGCATGCCAAACATCTCGTTCAAGAATCTCCTTTTGACGCAATCCTACATTATGGAAGATGGTTGACGCAACAAACTCGAGGATGGATCCAGCATGAAGAAGTGAACACCAGAACAGCAGAGCGACGCCGCAACCACCGAACAAATCAAGAACTTGAACACATTTCTCGCGCCCGACGAATTCAGGTCTCCAGCGTCAATCCCACAAGCAGAGACGGATAGCATGCATGTTCCACTAAGCGGAGACGCCAGTGAGGATGTGATGGGTGAGAAAGAAAATGCGTTGATGATGAAAAAGGGACTCAGCAGGGGCAGGAACTTGCATCCTCAGCACCAGCAGGAGAATGAGGAGGCAGAGCATAAGGAGCTGTCGATGAGGCTGCTTTACCATGCCTGTATGTAAAGCCTTACCGCTTAGGCAATACTTCGTCATCGCACTATCGATGACAGCTGCGACACCTCCACTGCAGCGTCCTACTATCATATGGGCGCTGACTGGCCTCCTACCGTCTGATTGCAACTTCCAAATGAACGACATCCACCACCGTGCCGCTGGACACGGACTGGGCGTGTCCTTAGGTCCTGGGCCCAATCCTTTAAGCCGCAATCCTCACTCCGGGACCCGGACCCCTCGCTCTCAAATCTCCCAAGGTTTCCCGCTTGCCCCCTGGGGCTTCCCGCGTGTGTTCCCTGGGCGTTGCCAAGTGGTGGCGTGTGATTTTTTTGTTGTCTGGCCCAGGGAGGCCCCAAGACGGGCCAAGAGAGCCCCAAGCAGCCTGCAAGACGGCCTAAGAGGGTCCCGAGACGCCCAAAGATCGGCCGAAGACGCATGATGGCCTCAAGATGGCATCAACAATCCGCCAAGACGCCCAAGAGGCCTCCAAGAGGCCTCCCAAAAGGCCTCCCACGAGGGCCTAAGAAACAACAGACATTGATTTTCCTGATGCCGCACAATCGGATACTGCACAGTTTCGCTCTTGCACAGCACGATACGTACAAAGGAGACATCCCAACTATAAATGATGATGACCGCGAGAAGGAGCATAAGGATGACGATGGTGGCTATGATGATGCTGGTCGTAGAGTAAGGTCACGAAGAGGGCCGTGCTGGCCAAGAGCGGAAGCGAGACTGGGGGCAAAGGGGGGCAGGATCGTGACGTGAAGGAGAAGCTGTCCCATCACCCATGCGGTCCAGCATCTCCTGCTCGTCCATCTGCTCCGCCTTTCTCCTCCTCCTCATCCATCTCCTCCCTCGTCCAGATTGCCTCACCTCCTGTTCCTCCTCCTGTCCCTCATCCTTCGCCTCCCGCTCATCATCCTCCCCTCCCTCATGGCCATTGGGGTGGACGAGCAGCAGTGCGAGGGTCTCTCCTGAGAGGGGGGTGAGAGAGGGAGGGCACTAGCCCGCGGGGGACAGCAACATGGGCATGGCTCTGTCGGCGACGCATCGCCTTTAGACAGAACACAGGCGCGCGACAGCGCGACGGTGCGACCCCGGGCAAGGTGGGGCACCCACGCACAGAACGGCGATGTATGGACAACGGGGGGCACAGGGGTGCGATGTCTCCCCCCCACCACCGCCACCACCACTCCAGTCTTGTTATGAAAGGGCAGAGGAGTCCTGAAGAAAAAAAAAAAGGGCCTGCCCCCTCTGGGCTGAACAGTGGGCAGGGGACTGGGCGTTCCCCCCGGGGCTGGACCCAGGACAGGGGCCCGAGAGGCCGAAAACAGCGAACAACCTCAGGGCCATGTCCCTCGATACTCCTCTACTTCATGGCGGTCTGGGTTGGCGGGTTCAACGTCGACCACACGACCCGTCCAGGGTGCGTTCAGACCAGAGTGCCGAGGCGGCTCCAGCCGTGTCGAAGGGGGGGCTCGCGGAGACCCAACTTACTCGATGCGGGTAGTCCCATGTGCGTTTCATGTCTGGCACTTCCTCTGTGCGTGCCTGCACATGGGCAAGCCTGAGCGCGAACGGACCCGTGGTATACCCCCTGGCGGACCCCCCTCGGTAGGCATCAGCGCCATGTCTGCTGCGTCGTGGTGGTCATTGTGCCCTGGCAAGGCACGCGCACAATGCCACACGTGGTCCTTCTGTTGAAGACGTGGCGACAGCCTGGACGCGAACAGGCCCATGATACCCTCTCCGGCGGCTCCCCCCATGATGGGCCTGTTTTCCACCACCTTCACCATAAGTTGGAGGGGGAGAAGGAGGAGGAGGACGACGAGGAGGACGAAGAGGAGGAGGATGAGGAGGATGAGGATGAGGATGAGGATGAGGATGAGGATGAGCAGGAGGAGGAGGAGGAGGAGGAGGAGGAGGAGGAGGAGGAGGAGGAGGAGAATGTCCCCCTCCCCCTTCAACGTATGGTGGTGGTGGTGGTGGAAAACAGGCCCATCACCCCCGGGGACGCACCAAAGCCATGCCTGCGACACCGCGGCGATCGCAGGCCTTTGGAAACGGGAGCGCGCGCGAAGCCGCGGACGGGCGTCTCGCTCATGACATCCGCGCAGTTTGGCCACGAGCGGGCCCGGCGGCGACCGTCTTCGCCGCCGTCGTCGTCGTCGGTCGCCGACGCCATCGTTCGTCGCCCGTCGACGCCGTTCGTCGCCGACGTCGGTTGCCGCCCGTCGCCGTCCGTCGTCGTCGTTATCGTCGTCGTCGTCGTGTTTCTCTCACGCCAGCCCCACTCCTCTTGCTCCTCCCCAGCCCTGTAGTCGTAGGAAGGGGGAAAAGGTAGCCTCCCCTTGGGGGGGGGGGCATGTGCCATCCCCGCTGACTGGCTCTGGGGAGGCAGGGAGGAGGCGAGAGGCGGAGGGTCTCACGACTATTGAGAAGCCCACATTTGGGACACAGGTGGACAGCACGAAAAAATACGCCATCGAATCTCGAATCCTCGACCCCCGAACCCCCTTTCGCCGCCCCCTGATGGTAAGGCTGCGCGTGGCGCACAGGCAGCCCCCCCGATGGTCCTGGCGTGCCTGAGGAGGCCCCCCCGAGTGGTCCCACAGCCGGCCTAAACGGGTCTCCCGAGCAGTCCGGGGCGGTCTCAGCACACCTCGCCAAGACCGCCCTGGACTACTCGGGGGGTCTGCTGAGGCCAGCCAGGGCTCCTTACCTGGGGGAGGGGGGCTCTCTGTGCGCAGGGACTCGGAAGCTGCTACAAGGCCCGACTCAAGAGGTCCAGTCCTGCAGGAGAAGGGGAAGAGCGCCAGGTAACCTCCATCCTTCTGTTCTTGAGATGTTGTGGCGGGGCCGCGTGCGCGAAATCGACCATGTGCAACGAACCCTGTTGGCATTTCTGGAGCCCGAAGCCTTACGGCTAGGTCGGGCAAGTCCTCCTGAAGGGGGATTCTGTATGTAAAAAACAATTACGCGGCGCGGGGCTCCCCACATGTGCATCTCATTCTCTCGGTACGTCTTTCTCTTGATATCTGTCAATGAGCGCCTGTGTGCGAGGGCGAACCGCTCGCTCGAGACATTCCCACAGTCTGCAAGCATGAGTCCGACCAATGGCAAATCTGAGAGCGACGGATTCTGAGTGTGAGCCAATCTGGGTGCGATTTAGCCTGGGTTTGAGTGGGTATGCGTGTGAGTAGATATGAGCGCGAGTGCGTCTGTGTGCGAGAGGGTCTGACTATGGACGAATATGAGTGTGAGACAGTCTGTGATTGAGCGGATCGTAGCATGATGGGTCTGAGCATGAGTGAGTCTGGGCTTGAGTGGGTCTGAATGTGAGAAAAAATGTGTGCTAATGAACCTGAGTGCGAGTGAGCCGAGTGTGGTTAGGTATGGATGGGACGCAGTCTGAGTGTGGGTCGGTCTGCGTTTGAGCGGATCGAAGGATGATGAGTCTGAGTCGGAGCGAATCTGAGTATGAGTTGAGTGGTTATGAGCGTGAGTCTGTGTGAATAAGTTTGAGTATGGATATGAGCGAGTCTAAGTGCAAGTGAGCCTGCGTGTGACTGAGTCTGAATATGAGTGAGTACGAATGCAGAAGAGTGAAGGAGAGCGGAGAGCGAAGGAGAGTGAGGCGGAAGCGTTTGAGTAAAACTTAAAACCTTGGAACATCGAGCCTCGATCGCCTGGCCCCGGCTACTCGAGTTGCCCACGTCCTCCTCCTCCTCCTCCTCCTCCTCACCATCATCATCATCATCATCATCATCATCATCATCATCATCATCATCATCATCATCATCCCCTTCCTGCTTCTGCTCCTACCGTGTTCATGCTGTCCTCCTCCTCTCCTCCTCCTCCTCCTCGTCCTCTTCCTCCTCCTCCTCGCTTCCTCCTTCTCTTCCTCCTCCTCCTCCCTCCTCCTCCTCCTCCTCCTCCTCCTCCTCCTCCTCCTCCTTGGGAGTGCTGAAACCAGCAAATCGCCTGAGACATCCTCCCAAAACTGCTCCGAAAACGACAGATGCCCAGCATCATAACGGCCAAACCGCCTGAGACATCCCCGCAAACTGGGCGCGAACGTCCTCCAAATCTGCTCCGAAAGCGAAACATGTTGGAAGAGAAAATGGCCAAACCGCCTGAGACATCCCCACAACATCCCGCGAAAGGGGCCGAGTGCAATACCCCCCCGCCGCTCCCCTTAGAGTGCTGAAACCAGCGAATCGCCTGAGACATCCTCCAAATCTGCTCCGAAAGCGAACATGTTGGAAGAGAAAATGGCCAAACCGCCTGAGACATCCCCACAAAATCCCGCGAAAGGGGCCGAGTGCAATACCCCCCCGCCGCTCCCCCTAGGAGTGCTGAAACCAGCGAATCGCCTGAGACATCCTGCAAATCTGCTCCGAAAACGAAACATACTGGAAGAGAAAATGGCCAAACCGCCTGGACATCCCAACAAAATCCCGCGAAAGGGGCCGAGTGCAATACCCCCCCGCCGCTCCCATTAGGAGTGCTGAAACCAGCGAATCGCCTGAGACATCCTCAACATCAGTGTGTGTGTCATCCGATGAGCGGACCTGAGTGAGTGTAGTGAATGTGTGAGTACAAGTACGCGTGAGCCTGAGTGATGGGTGAGTCTGAGTGATGAGTGAGTCTGAATGATGAGTGAATCTGAGAGATGAGTGATGAGTCTGAGTCGTGATGAGTGAGTCTGAGTGATGAGTGAGTATGAATGATCAGTGGGCCTGGGTGATGAGCGAATCTGAGTGATGAGTGAATGGGTCTGAGTGAGAGGAGTGGTGTGTTCTCTCTCTCCTCCGGCGCGGTCCGCCATTTACTCGACGCGGGGCTCCCCATATGTGCATATCATTCTCTTGGTACGTCTTTCTCTTGATATGTCAATGAGCGCCTGTGTGCGAGGGCGAACCGCTCGCTCGAGACATTCCCACAGTCTGCAAGCATGAGTGCGACCAATAGCAAATCTGAGAGCGACTGATTCTGAGTGCGATTTAATCTGGGTGCGATTGAGCCTGGGTTTGAGTGGGTATGCGTGTGAGTAAATATGAGCGCGAGTGCGTCTGTGTGCGAGTGGGTCTGAGTATGGACGAATCTGAGTGTGAGCCAGTCTGTGATTGAGCGGATCGTAGCATGATGAGTCTGAGCATGAGTGAGTCTGGGCTTGAGTGGGTCTGAGTGTGAGAAAACATGTGCGCTAATGAATCTGAGTGCGAGTGAGCCGAGTGTGATTGGGTATGGATGTGAGGCAGTCTGAGTGTGAGTCGGTCTGCGTTTGAGCGGACCGAAGGATGATGAGTCTGAGCAGGAGCGAGTCTGAGTATGAGTGGTTCTGAGCGTGAGTCTGAGTGTGAGTAAGTTTAAGTATGGATATGAGCGAGTCTAAGTGCGAGTGAGCCTGCGTGTGACTGAGTCTGAGTATGAGTGAGTATGAATGCAGAAGAGTGAAGGAGAGCGGAGAGCGAAGGAGAGTGAGGCGGAAGCGTTTGAGTAAAACCTAAAGCCTTGGAACATCGAAACTCGATCGTCTGGCCCTGGCTACTCGAGTTGCCCACGTCCTCCTCCTCCTCCTCCTCATCATCATCATCATCATCCTCCCCTTCCTGCTTCTGCTCCTACCGTGTTCATGCTGTCCTCCTTCTCCTCCTCCTCCTCCTCGTCCTCTTCCTCCTCCTCCTCGCTTCCTCCTTCTCTTCCTCCTCCTCCTCCTCCTCCTCCTCCTCCTCCTCCTCCTCCTCCTCCTCCTCCTCCTCCTCCTCCTCCTCCTTGGGAGTGCTGAAACCAGCAAATCGCCTGAGACATCCTCCCAAAACTGCTCCGAAAACGACAGATGCCCAGCATCATAACGGCCAAACCGCCTGAGACATCCCCGCAAACTGGGCGAGAACGTCCTCCAAATCTGCTCCGAAAGCGAAACGTGTTGGAAGAGAAAATGGCCAAACCGCCTGAGACATCCCCGCAAAATCCCGCGAAAGGGGCCGAGTGAAATACCCCCCCGCCGCTCCCCTTAGAGTGCTGAAACCAGCGAATCGCCTGAGACATCCTCCAAATCTGCTCCGAAAGCGAAACATGTTGGAAGAGAAAATGGCCAAACCGCTTGAGACATCCCCACAAAATCCCGCGAAAGGGGCCGAGTGAAATACCCCCCGCCGCTCCCCTTAGAGTGCTGAAACCAGCGAATCGCCTGAGACATCCTCCAAATCTGCTCCGAAAGCGAAACATGTTGGAAGAGAAAATGGCCAAACCGCCTGAGACATCCCCACAAAATCCCGCGAAAGGGGCCGAGTGAAATACCCCCCCGCCGCTCCCCTTAGAGTGCTGAAACCAGCGAATCGCCTGAGACATCCTCCAAATCTGCTCCGAAAGCGAAACATGTTGGAAGAGAAAATGGCCAAACCGCCTGAGACATCCCCACAAAATCCCGCGAAAGGGGCCGAGTGCAATACCCCCCCGCCGCTCCCCCTAGGAGTGCTGAAACCAGCGAAGCGCCTGAGACATCCTCCAAATCTGCTCCTGAGTGATGAGTCATGAGTGAGTCTGAGTGATGAGTGAGTCTGAGAGATGAGTGATGAGTCTGAGTCATGACTGAGTCCGACTGATGAGTGAGTCTGAGTGATGAGTGAGTCTGAGTGATGAGTGGGTCTGAGTGATGAGTGAGTCTGAGTGATGAGTGAGTGGGTCTGAGTGAGAGGAGTGGTGTGTTCTCTCTCTCTCTCTCTCTCCTCCGGCGCGGTCCGCCAATAACAAGAACCCCATACACAGGGAATGGGGAAGAACAAGAACCCCAAACAAAGGAGATGGGGAAATATTCAAAACGACCCGAAGATCCGAATTTCGGGCTGGGGGGGTACGGGCTGCAGATGTGTCTTGCTCGATGCTCCCCGACCCCTCCCACACTGGAAATGGAGGGCACATCGGGGCCTTCGGGTTGGGTTGGGGTGGTCTGGTGGGCGGTGAAGGAGGAGGTGGAGGACAGGAGGAGGAGGAGAAGGAGGAAGAAGAGGAGGAGGGAGGAGGAGGAGGAGGAGGAGGAGGAGGAGGAGGAGGAGGAGGAGGAGGAGGAGGAGTGGTCTGGTCTGGGTTGGGGTGGTGCGCCGCGCCGAAGCGCGGTGGGCGGCCCGCCACGCTCCGGCACCGCGGGCGAAGACGGGGCGGAGCGACGCGCCGCCCAACAGTTCCCGATCGTACCGCGAGGTCGGGCACGTTATCCTATCGGGGAGACGTAAGACCCGGGTACGGGGGACTCGGAAATCCCCGACGAGGTCGTCAAAAAAATGACGAGGCCGAGCCTGCATTTTGACGAGGCCTCCCGCCGCAGACATCCCGCGAAACTCCTCCTCGTCAAAATCCGAGGCGCGGTCGTCAGAAAACGATGGCGAACCCGAGTCCCGGCAAACCCGGGTCTTACGCTCCCCCGATCCTACAGGCGGATCTCGGATGAGCAAATCCAAAACATAATCCAGGAGCGCCCCCAAAGGATACGACATGTTCCAGCAGTAGTCCCCAGACCATGTTTGGACTGTGCTCGAATCCTCCTCCTGTTGCAGGACACGCCGACCTAACCTCGGAAGCGGCCAAGAGTGGGGTGTCCAAGAGGGGGGGGTGCACATCATGACCGGCGTCATGTGCGCGGCCCAGCGGGGGGGCCAGGGACGCAATGAAATCAGAAGCGGCGCCATGAAATCTGGGGAAACATCGTGGCCCACGCCGTGAGATCCACCCCCCCCCTAGTCATCCCCCCCTCTTTTCGGGTCGGGCGAAAGGGGGGGATTGGGAAAGGGGGGGTTACGAAATTTGCTGCGTGCAGCTGGTTTCGGCCTCACCGAGGAGCCCATTCCTCGATACATAGCCGCCTCCGGCGCCGGGAGGCGCCGGGAAAATCAGCTACGTGAGCTGATTCTCAATCCCCCCCTTTGCTATCCCCCCCTTTCGCCCGACCCGATCTTTGCCGCCCCCGATAACCCGTACCACCCCGTGGGCCCCCGTCGCCCGGGCGTCTGGCCCGGCCCGCGCCGCGCGCCGCGGCGCGCGGCGCACTCAGAAGCCCGCGGCCACCCGCGGGGCGGCCTGCCTGCGGCCGTGCACCACGGCCTGCAGATCCGCACGGCCACCCGCGGTGGCGCGCCGCGGAGCGGGCCCTCCTCCTCCTCCTCCTCCTGCTCCCTCCTCCTCCTCTCTGCTTCCTCCTCCTCCTCCTCCTCCTATCTTCTCCTCCTCCTCCCTCCTTCCCCTTCCAGTCCCCCTCCCGTCCCCCTCCTCTTTCTCCTCGTCCCCCTCCCGTCCCGTGGAGTGGGCGGCGCGGCGAGGGCACGCTCCTCGTGCTCCGCCCTCCTGCTCCCTCCTGCTCCCCTCCTCCCCCATGCTCCTCCTCCGTCCTCCTGCCCCGTCCTCCCCCTCTCCTCCTCCCCCATCCTCCTTCCTCCGTCCTCCCTCCGTGCTCTCTCCTCCTCCTCCGTCTCCTCCTCCTCCTCCTCCTCTGGCTCCTCCTCTGGCTTCTCCTCCTCCTCCTCCTCCTCCTCCTCCTCCTGCAAGCGGGTCCTGATGGAAGCGGATCCTGGACCTCGAGGCGGTCCGTCATGACAATCCAGTAGTCCCGCATCGTTCTCAGACAGTCCCGGAGCGCGTGGAGAGACAGTCCCGGAGCGCGTGATTGAGGGAATCCTTAAGATTGACATCGAGATGAGGCGATGCAAATCATAGGGATAAGGCTGAATTTCCAGACGGGTAGTTAAGACCAGGGAGACCCAAAGTGGCGAACTACAGGCAAGCCAATCTCCCTAAGGACCCCTTCGCTCCACTGAGGAGGAGGAGGCGCAGGAGGCGCAGGAGGTGGAGGAGGTGGAGGCGGAGGCGGAGGAGGAGGAGGAGAAAGAGAAGGAGGTCCGCGCATGTGTCTTGGATCTGCGCTGGACCACCCTCATTGGCGCGCGGAGCGCGCCAAGAGCAGCGCTTGAGATGCCGCCAGGAGACTCCAGCGCAGATCCGCACGGCCGCCCACAGTGGCGCGCCGCGGAGCGGGCCCTCCTCCTCCTCCTCCTGCTCCTCCTCCTCCTCCTCCTGCTCCTCCTCCTCCTCCTCCTCCTCTTCCCCTCCTCCTCCTCCTCCTCCCTTCCCCTCCCGTCCCCTCCCGTCCCCCCTCCCTCGTCCCCTCCCCTCCCCCTCCACCTCGCCTCCCCCTCCACCTCCCCTCCCCCTCTCCCTCCTCCGCCTCCTCCTCCTCCTCCTCCTCCTCCGCCTCCCGTTTTCATAATGTGGCTCTCGCTATAGCGCCGTGCACATTCGTATTAACCATGTACAAGAGCTTCAGGAAATTGAGGGCGGGTCGGTTTCAAAATGTGGCTCTCGCCTTAGCGCCGCGAACATTCGTTTTCAAACATTGCAAGAGCTTCACGGACTGATGGCGGTTCCTTTCCAAACTGTGGTTCGCGACTTAGCGCCGCGCACATTCTTATTTAAATGTTGCAAGCGTTTCACGGATTCCCACCATCATCGTTCCAGACATGGCGTTTTGGAAGGATTCAGGGCTACGCGGTCGCAGCCATTATGTTGATTCGTAGTGCTGAAATCCCGAAAGTGGCCTTATGGCACGATTCAAGATCGCCAGGGCCCAGCAGTCAGGTTGACCCGTGGCGTAGAAATCCCGAGAACATTGTTTGGCATGCTTCAAGAACTTCGAACGGTTGTCTTCCAACGAGGCAGTTCCTTCAATGGAAATGAGCCGTTGTATGGGGCCGGACGACTCATTCCAACATCGTTGATGACTCTTGGGCTTACACTAATCATACTCCTCCTCCTCTTCATCCTCCTCCTCCTTCTCCTCCTCCTCCTCCTCCTCCTCCTACTCCTTCTCCTCCTCCTGCTCCTGCTCCTGCTCCTGCTCCTGCTCCTGCTCCTCCTCCTCCTCCTCCTCCTCCTCCTCCTCCCAGTCCTCCTTC